CCCCCCCCGGGTTGGCGATCGGAGCGAGCAGGGGGCGAAGCCCCCTAGTTAATTATATTATTAATAATAATAATAGTAAATTAATAATAATGATAATAATTATTAATTATAATATTAATAATAATAATAATAATAATAATAATAAGGACATGAATTCTGAAGAAGAAAGAAAGCAATAAAGGTAAAAAGAAATCATCAGCAAAGAGTGAAATCTAGAATAACGAAAATGAATGAAACCCTCGTGTTTGTAAATACAATTGGAGACAGATTCGATCGTTCCTAGTCATTTTCACAGTTGATTTGTGATCAACTGAAGAAACTGTCGCCTCATCACCTCAATTTTCCCCAGAACAGAATAAAAAAAATATCAAAAACTAATTAAAAAATCTTCGGTTTTCTCACTCAAATAATTCCCTAGAGGCATTGATTTAATAATTAATTGAATTGTTGAATCAATTGTCATTTGTGTAACGGTAAAAATGAAGGCCAGTAATTCTGGAAAAGAAAAAAAAAGTAAAAGTGAAAGAAAAACATCAGCAAAGAGTGAAATCTAGTGAATAACGAGGCTGAAGCGAAATAAATAGAACTCTCGAGTGTTTATGAATATAATTAAAGTGAGATTCGATCATTTCCAGCCTATTTCCTAGTTGATATGTGATCAACTGAAGAAACAGTGCCTCATCACCTCAATTTTCCCCAGAATAGAATAAAAAAAATATGAAAAACTAAAATTAATTACAAAATCTTCAGTTTTCTCACTCAAATAATGTCTGGATTATTCCCTTGAGTCAGTTAATTATTCGGTAAATAAATCAATCGTTGGATTAAGTGTTATCATTTGTGATAAAAATGGAGAATGATAATTCTGAAGCCTCTGGTGCCAGGAGAAGTCGAGAAGAATCATCGGAGGAGAGTGTCGAAGGCCTATCGAACCGTCAGCAAGCCGAACTAGACCGAATTCTCCACGAAATGAACAAATGCAACAATCGGATTAAAAGACTGGAGGCGATGGAAGTGGATTTCGATAATGAACGGAGGAGCAGCTTCCTGGAGCTCCACAAGTGCAGGAGGAAAATCGTGGATTTGTATTACGAGGGGTGCGAGATCAAGGGCTACTCCAGGGACGCCGGTCGTCCCCTGCTGAGGGATAAAAATCTCGAGGTCACTGGACATCCCTCCATCGACGAAGTTATCAATAGTGTTATCAATGACGACTGGTTCAATATTCCCACGTACTCGGAAATCCTGGAGTGCGTCCAGTTTTGCAATGAGGAGGACGATTTGGGGATGGAGAAGAGCGTTGAATCTAGTTTGGGTGAGTGATAGTTTATTCTTTTTGCGGATGGATTTTTCTTCGGGGATCTGGGGAGGGGAGAACGGGGTAAAATGAAACACCCGGGGAAAGTGGTATTTAGCACAATTCTAGTTTTTTTTTAACAAACCATTTCGATTGGAGCATGTTTGTAAGGATTCTCTCAATCCCCTACAAAATTTCCAACCCCCTGGAAAAAGTACTTGAGGGTAGTAGAAGGGTGAAAAGTTATTTTTTTGCGATTTTTACACAAGAACAATTTTTTTGGACACGAATTATGAAAAAAACAAACAATTGGAGAATGTTTCCTATTGGAGAATGTTTCTCAGGACGCCCTCTATCCCCTAAAAAATCGCCAAGGCTCTGGGAAAAGTACTGGAGGGTAGTAGAAGGGTGAAAAGTTATTTTTTTGCGATTTTTACACAAGAACAATTTTTTGGACACGAATTATGAAAAAAAAAACGAACAATTGGAGAATGTTTCCTATTAGATAATGTTTCTCAGCACGCCCTCTATCCCCTAAAAAATCGCCAAGGCCCTGGGAAAAGTACTTGAGGGTAGTAGAAGGGTGAAAAGTTCGTTTTTTGCGATTTTTACACAAAAAAATTTTTTTTGGACACGAATTATCAAAAAAAAATGAACAATTCCTTTTGGAGAATGTTTCAAAGGACTCCCTCAATCCCTTAAAAAATTGCCAACCCCCTCGGAAACGTAGTTGAGGATAATAGAAGGATGAAAACTTCATTTTTTGCGATTTTTACACAAGAAAAAAATCGTTTGAACATGAAATATCCAAAAAAAATGAACAATTTCTCATTAAAATTATCTAGTGAATTCGCTAGGTTTTTCTATTAAAATTTTTACTCCGTCATTCACCAAAAATATGTTCAAAAATATTTTAGGAATCCCGAAAGTCTCCTCCTCGAAGAAAATTCCTAAACTAATGAAAAAATATCATACTTTTTTGTTATCGTTATTTTACATCGCTTCGACCCAGTTGGGGTGTGCTGCGATGATGATAAGGACTTTAAGGGTGCCAAGTGAATTTGAAAAAAGATTTTTTAAAAATTTTTTCTTTCCCTCCATCATTGGAGAAATATGTATTCATCCATCCGACGAAATTTCAAACCCGCAACCGGAACTAGACATCGAGAAAATAAATGCGGAAAATCCTCTATTTCGCGTGACGAACCTCGAGAAAGCATGGGATCAAAGGGGTACGGCGGGTTGAAATATCTCTCTTATTCACCCCGGTACCCCATTGTTTTTTGTCGCCATCACATTGAACACATCATTCCCCATATCTTCAAATTTTTTCAAATTTTTCTTGAGTTCCTAGGGGGTTGAAACGTTCAATTTAATCAAAACTCCATAAGAGGCCGTGTATAAGACTGATTTTGTTTATTTAATTTCTCGATATCCATAAGTTCTAAAATTTTGAAATTGTCACCGATGTTCACCATCTGTCTAATACTATTAATTAAAAAAATTATAACTTTGTTGGTGAATGTCAATTTTCAAGGTCATCGCTAAATTCACTTGGCACCCTTAAATAGTTAGGTCTCACCATTCTACCCGGCCGGGTTTTTGAACTCGGAACCGTTCGCGTGTGAGGCAACGAACTTACCCACTGCGCCAGGCCACCGGACAAAAAAAAAAAAAAAAAAAAAAAAAAAAAAAAAAAAAAAAAAAAAAAAAAAAAAAAAAAAAAAAAAAAAAAAAAAAAAAAAAAAAAAAAAAAAAAAAAAAANTGCCCTCCCAGAACCCAACCCTCGAGTAACCCTCGATGCTTCCACGTTCCAGCGGAGCTCGCCTACGTAAAAGTGGTCAACACCCTCCAGAGAATGCGACAGCAAGACTTCTACAACTCCTACGCCCCGATCTACCAGGAGACCGACGACCCAGCGAAGCTGAGTCGACCCCTGTGGGAGAAGCTCGTCCGCAACGACGCGATCGCTCGAAGGAACCTCACCCGGTTGTGCGACGAGTACACGAGGAAGGAGCACGAGTCCCTCGCCAGCAGGATCTCCACGAGAAGAGCTCCCCGAGTCCCGAGGCAGCCCCCGAAGGTCAGGAGACCCCCCGCCAGGACGTCCAGCGAGTCAGAGGCCTCCGAAGACGTTTCCACCGAAGAGTCGACCCCGAAGGCCCCACGAGCTCCAAATGTCCAGGAAAACGTGGAGAACAGACTTCGAACAGTGAAATTCGCTTCAGACCTGGAGACGAGTGACTCAGACTCGTCTACAGAGCCCAATTCTCCAGAAAAATCCCCGAATGGGTCCAATCAGGGGGAAACCGACTCCTCTGACTCGTTGACGCCTCCACTGAGTCAAATTTCAGAGAGGACCTCGGAGGAGGAACAGGTGGAGGCCTCGACTGCCCAGAGCCACCAGGACTCGTCTCGATCGATGAACAGCGCTCCCAATTTCGCAGTCTCGACCTTGAATGAAGAGCACTCCAGGTTCTTCGTCAACGCCTCCAGCAGCTTCCATCCGTCATTTCGGGTCAACAAGGTGCGGGGGAAGTATGCGAGCTTTTCTCGGGTTGAAACAAGAGAGATTTCGGAAGATTCGGGGGAGGAGGTGAGGGAGGGCGAGGGGGGTGGGGCAGAGCAGACAGGAGTGTCCAGTGGAGGAGAGGGCGGAGGTGTGGGGGCACCTGGGGACGCTGGGAAGAGAGGACTGCGTGATAAATGTCTGGTTATGTGAGGATAATTTTTGCTGTTTAGGGGGGTATTTATTTATTTGTTTAGAATGGAGTTCCTCGATGATTCCTATATTAATTTATGCTCGTTTATCATGTGTAGTTATGATCGGGTAATCTTAATTACACTCTCAATAATTTTAGTAACTAATGAGTAAACATAAAAAATTTGTTAAACTATTTATTCCAAAGTAAAAATGATACAGTGATATCTTCTCGATATGTACATTACATCAGTAAAAAGAGTCTTATTGTAAAAACATTATGAAATAAAATAGAATACTATTGAAGGAGACTCAAGTCCATGTACAGGAGTTGCATTTCAGTTATTGGAAAAAATCTCACGTGTGAGAATGCCATTCTAGTGGACGTAAAGCTCTAGATCATTTTTCTTTCTTCATTGAGTTTGTACTTAAGGACGGACGAAGTAGTTATCAATTTCTTTGAGTTGAACGTCGTATAAACTAAAAATACCCTTTCGATTCCCTTCTGTCGTCTGAGTTATTAAAAGCCGGGTTTGTTGATTAATCAATGGATTAAATGGTAAAACGTAATAACAAAACGAATTAATTCCTCATCTTTCTGAGTTGATAATTATCGCAGTAAAAAGCGATTTTAGAGGATATTTTTTTTAACACAAAAAATAATGTTCGACAAGTTTTGAATTAATTATCTTGTTAATTTCGTATTGATCTCGATAACGAGCTGTTTTATGAGAAATTTTGAAAATACATTTTTCATTCCAAATTCAATTTTTAATCGAAATTATTTCGTGACATTTTCTTCTAAATTCACTCATTCTCGAGGTAATGAATGGATTTTGAAAATGGGAGAAAATCGACTCCAACGTTATTTGTTGGATATATTCCTCTCTGTAGGAAGATTTCTTGATATTTTTTTAAAAATCCACTCATTTCCGAGATATTCCCATATTAATCCCTTATTAACTTCTTATTAATCTCGACAATGAGCTGTTTCAGGAGAAATTTACAAAAAATATTTTTTATTCAAAATTTAATGGTCAAACATTTAATGGTCAATGATTATGTGACATTTTCTCCTAGATTCATTCATTTTCGAGATAATAAATGATTTAATAAATGTAAAAAAAGGTCTCAAACGTTTTTTATCGGAAATATTCCTCTGCAGGAAGATTTCTTGCTAGTTTCCTAAATTCCCTCATTTTCGAGAAATTCCCTACAAAATGTTCCCCCCCCCCCCNAATGTTTCCCCCCCCCCGTGTTCTAATATAAACTAACAATAACCGAAAACTTGAACTTCATAAATTACATTTCACCAAGCAATTCCCTAATCAATTACAAGGCACCTGACGAACCCAGTAAATTGTCAATTCTCGAGAATAGCTGACGATTCTCCTCGTTCTCATACTGGAACACAAAAAATGGACGGATTTGGACGGATGCAGTGACGCATTAATAAATAAAATTCCCTTATGACTTGGACTCAAGTTGGAACCGCGTCTGCGACTCCTTCAAGTATCTGCGTTTCTTCTTCTGAACAGATGCCTCGACGAGGAAGAGGCCCCCTGCGATGATGCAGAGAACACTGCCGATGACTCCAAGCGCGAATGACCAGGAGAAGTAGTTGTTCTCGTGATCTGGCATCCAGCCCTTTCCGTTTGCGAGGCAGGCGAAGACGATGACACCTATGGCGCCACTGACTCCAGCTACTATCAGTATGAATCCGATAGAGTAGATCAGCTGGACAAAGCGCCTGTGCTCTGGGTCCAAGCATGTCGTGAAGAAGATGACTAGGGCAAATGCTATCAGCATCAGGACGAAGCAGATTGTGAAGAACAACTGGGTGATGATCATGAAGGCTGAAAGGAGAAGCGAATGTGAAACAGTGACTTTTTATGAACGCGTCATTTATTGAATGCAGTGATTCATTCGGACTTGTACACTGATGAAAAAAATTATTGAGATATTTCTTTCATGGAGCAAGTATTATATACTTGAGCCAAGTTCAAATAAATAAGATGTTACGGTGAATAACAATTATTTCCTCTTGAGATACATTTACTTGAAGCAAGTAAAACAGTCTTAACCCTAGTCTGGTCACCCTGCGCGACCCAACGACTTTGGCCGCGTCCGCGGGGAAGTGTCGCCGTGTTATTTAGGCCCGAACGTTGCCAAATTCACTCTACACTGCCCGGGGGCGTTTAGCCAGTTTCCGGCAACGTCGCGTAACAGGCACTTTCATTCAACATGGGAAAAAATCATTCCTCTGTGAGAAAAAAATTGTTTTCTTCAGGAATTTCGAGAATTATGTTGTTCTGAAATTACTCTAATTTTTTAGATACTTTAATTGGAAATGTCAAATTTTTTTGAATTTTTCCGATCAGCTATTCAATGGAAATTCAAGAAACACGACGGGCTGCGGCGTTTCCCTCATATGGTGACCAACCTAGGGTTAAGAGGAATGAATTGAATGTTGTTTTTCATCACGCTGTGACGAAAAGTGAACTTTTCGGCACGCTCCGCGTGCCTAAAAGTCCAATTTCTGTCACATTGTGATGAAAAATATTGTTCGTAACTCGTGAAAAAATGTTTTTTAGCTCGTGGGATTATTAAACCTCCCACTCGCCAAAAAACACTTTTTTGCACTCGTTACGAAATATACTATTCTCGAATGAAGCCGATGATTAAGGGTGCCAAGTGAATTTGAAAAAAGATTTTTAAAAAATGTTTTCTTTCCCTCCATCATTGGAGAAATATGTATTCATCCATCCGACGAAATTTCAAACCTGCAACCGGAACTAAACATCGAGAAAATAAATGCGGAAAATCCTCTATTTCGCGTGACGAACCTCGAGAAAGCATGGGATCAAATGGGTACGGCGGGTTGAAATATCTCTCTTATTCACCCCGGTACCCCATTGTTTTTTGTCGCCATCACATTGAACACATCATTCCCCATATCTTCAAATTTTTTCAAATTTTTCTTGAGTTCCTAGGGGGTTGAAACGTTCAATTTAATCAAAACTCCATAAGAGGCCGTGTATAAGACTGATTTTGTTTATTTAATTTCTCGATATCCATAAGTTCTAAAATTTAAAAATTGTCACCGATGTTCACCATCTGTCTAATACTATTAATTAAAAAAATTATAACTTTGTTGGTGAATGTCAATTTTCAAGGTCATAGCCAAATTCACTTGGCACCCTTAAATTGAGCTTTCCGTACATCGCATTGAACGAAATTTCTGATATCCAAGTTTGTGTTGAATTGCCGTAATCTGTGATTCTGTCGTAAACTAATGCGATTTTTTTTTGTCAAGAAATATTAACTTCTTTCAACTCAACGACATCTTACTAGAATCTCAAAGCTTTTTCCGCGTAACAATATTCATCATGATTCGACATACGAAATGCATTTATATTCTTTCTTGCTCCTGAAATTCTCCACAAACAGGTCTTCTGATCACGTCCGTCAAACGTCTTCCCTGCGAAAGGATTTTCGAAATGACACTCGAGTAAATTCCACGATTATTTCGTTAATCACTTGATGACCTAAATGAAAGCGAAATTTTCTTTTGACTAGGCAAACTTTTGTTTTTGAACAAAGAATGAACTTGTCGACCCAAGATGACAGAGAGAATAATACCCGTCATTACTTACAGTGATTCATTCACTCCGGCAGTGAGGTAATCACAGTAGAGACGAATGAAATATTCATGGACACATTATTTCGTAGATCCAGAGGAGGGAACTTTTTCGAGGCTCGAAATTCTCTTCAAGAATGGTATTTTCATTAGTTTTGCGAGATCACGTATGAAAAAGTTTAACGCCGTGGCTATTCGCAGAAAAAACGATCTATTCGATTCAGATAGTTTATTCAATCAAAATGAACCATTTTACGTTGCAGTTCTCTCCAAAAAGTGTTTCTGCGTAAATCGCTCTAGACCCCTCCCCCATTGACTAAAACAGGGGCGGGTGGGGTAAAACGGACACTTTAGACTTTTTTTAAATTACTCATAACTCAGGAACAAATAGATCAATTGAGCTCAGTTTAGGCTCGTCGCAAAGGGAAAGAATTGTTCTTTGTACTGAAAAAAAAATTATTCAATTTTATCAACATTTCAACTCCTACTTAACATGTTTTAAAAATTGAAAAGTGTCCGTTTTACTCCAATCGCCCCTATCAAATATTTACTAAAACAAAAAATATTTTATTTTAACAATGAAAGTAAATATTTATTTACTTTTATTTTATCTTCATTTTTTTATTTTTTTGTTTTATTTTAAATATTTACTTTTGTTCTAATAAGAATGGAATACTATTTTTTCAAAAACATACGAAAACAATTATTAAATTCCCCCGAATCACTCTCATTCTATTTTTCTTTTCTTCTCATCAAGGAAATGAAACGAAAAAACATGGAAAATTTGAGCCGAGGAAATTCTATAGAAAATATCTCAATAGAATAAGTTATGTAGAAAAATTGAATTCTATTGACTTTTTCTACTGAATATTTTCTATTGAACATTTCAATCGAATCGGCCAAAAACTAATAGAACAGTTCAATAGAAATTCAACAGAATTTTCTGACGAATTTGATAGGTTTTTCTATTAAATTTTTTCGTCGTGTTTCCCACTTGTTCTCTCATCATATCAAAACACCTCAAAGCAGTTCTTGAGCTTTCCCGAAAAAGCGACAAAATCAATTTAAATTAAAAAACTCACGAGGTATTAAAAATTCCCTGATGTCTGACCACCCAGCGGTGAAAGGATCGTAAATCCACCTGCACCCGACGAAGAATTGTGTGGGTGCATCAGCCGCCGCAGGATCAGGCAGCGACTTGTAGCAGTGTGTCCACAGTCCAATTTTATTCAGATTTGTGCTCGTGATCCTCCAGTCGCTGGCCAGCCACGATGGGGTGGCAAAAGCCACCGCAACGCACACCAGTGCAACCGAAAACACACCGACAGCCACACTACCCGAGAAACTTTGTTTCTTCATTCTCCTTTTCGTCAATCGCGCCTTCACAAACTCCAAATCTTCGATCGAATTTCAATAATTCAACAATTTCGAACTATTTCGTTGCGATAATTCCGCAAAAACCCATGGGCCACTCTTGCTCCAATTTTTTCCGAGGATTTCTAAGCCTCGGCACAACCACACCCAGCGTCGAACTGTGACAACACAATCAAATCAACCTGAGTCAATGCTGGGCTTGGCCGCCACTCCACCGACACACCGCGCACTCGACTAACTTCGGTAACTCTCGGATGACTAACACACAGGAGCACTCCCCGAGCGAATTAAAACGTCGTGAGAACATGTGTTATGAGCGGATGAGGTGATGCATTCGCCTTGTCTATTATTTATTTATTTTTTTCAATTGAAAGTTCATTTCATGAACACAGTAATACATAGTAAGCATAAAAGCTTGGTGAAAAATGAGCTTTTGTTATTGATATTGGTGAAATACATTCGGTGTTGCACACCATCCTTAATTTCTAAGTATACACTGAGAGAAAAACACGTCAAACAAGTCGTGTTTGCGCCAACAAAATCGCTAGTTGAAAATTGCCAAAAAAGATTTTTTTTGGTTCGAATTTGAAAGTCTCAAACATGAATAATTGTTCTGCTCTCGACAGCAACGAAATGTTTGGCTCAAGAGGCGGATAATTCACACCAGACGGTGCCTTTTCAGGATGAAAATATCTCACAGAGAAAAATTTATCAACAAATATTTTATCATTATTATTATTATTGTTTCATTTATCATTATTATTGTTTCATTTAAGGGTTCATTTGTTGTCTGTGATTATTAGACAGCCGAAACGAAACACTACTATCCCTTGTTTCGCATAAAACTAGTATATTTCGTAATGAGTGCAAAATAGTATATTTCGTAACGAGTGCAAAAAAGTGTTTTCATCACGCTGTG